ACTGTGAGAGGGCACAGGCCAGGCTGAGGGAACCTCCTACCCCCGAGTGCACAAATTTTTATGCACCGGGCCTCTAGTATTACATAAACTTCATTGATAAAACAGTGGCAGGGTTTGAGAGGATTGACTAGATAAAATTCTATCAAACAGCATCACATTGCTACAGAGAAATCATTAGTGAAAGGAAGAGTCAACCCGATGTAGCAAACCTCATTGTTGAAGAAATTGCCACAGCCACCCCAGTCTTCAGCAACCTCCACCCTGATCACTCAGCAGCCATCAACATCGAGGCAAGACCCTTCACCACCAAAGAGATTATGACTCACTGAAAGCTCAGATGATGTTTAGCAACTTTAAAAGTATTTTTCAATTAAGGCATCTACATTGTTTTTTAGACATAATCCTTTGCAAACGTCTTTTAAGTGGGATGCCTTGGCAATCAAAGCTTAAGTCAGTCACTTGCATTATAAGAAAAAAATATCAGGGCTTACACTATACTATACTGTAGCTTTGTAATAAGTCTTGAAGTCATGAGGTGTGAGTCTTCCAACTTTGTTCTTTTTCAATATTGTTTTGACTCTTTGGGGTTTCTTGAGGTTGCATATCAATTTTAGGGTGCATTTTTCTGTTTTTGCCAAAAACATCGTTGGGATTTTGATAGTAATTACATTGACTCTGTAGACCAGTATAGTATTTGCATTTAGCAATGTTAAGTATATTCTGATTCTTGAATGTGGGATGTCTTTCCATTATGTATTTCTTCTTTTCTTTCAACAATGTTTTGTAGTTTTTTTTGTACAATCTTTCACCTCCTTGGTTAAGTTAATTGCTAAGTTTTTTATTCTTTTTTTTTTAAATATATTTTTATTGATTTTTTACAGAGAGGAAAGGAGAGGTATAGAGAGTTAGAAACATCAATGAGAGAGAAACATTGATCAGCTGCCTCCTGCACACCCCCCTATTGGGGATGTGCCTGCAACCAAGGTACATGCCCTTGACTGGAATCGCACCTGGGACCCTTCAGTCCACAGGCCAACGCTCTATCCACTAAGCCAAACCAGTTAGGGCTAAGTTTTTTATTGTTTTTATGCTATTATCAGTAGAATTGTTTTATGATTCCCTTTCTAATTTGGACCCCCGTTTCCCTTTTCTTCCCCCTTGCTTAATTGCCCTGGCCAGAATTTCTAATCCTGTGTTGAATTAAAGTGTCAAAAGCTGTCATCTTTTTCTTGTTTTTCACTCCTTTCATTTTATAGATGTGGAAAAGTGGGCCCTTGAAGGGGGCATTTACTTGCTGAATGTTATACAGCAAGTTTGTAGCAAAGCAGGAACTGACACTTAGATCTCTTCACTTCTGGCCCAGTGTTCTTTCCATTCTATTGGGTTGACAGAAGTTAGGATAGCTAGTTATGGAAAGACTCGTCTTCTGAGTTCCTTCAGAATATTTTCACATCAGTAAATCCTAATAGATGACAGTGTTGAGAAATTTTAATATTATGGATTTTTAATTTTTTGCTGTTTGATTTATAATTCCAAATTTAAGTTTCAGAATGTCATTATTTGTATTTCTTCAGTGCAGTAACCATTGGAACTGATATGCTGGAATTGGACTGTCATATCACAAAAGATGAGCAAGTTGTTGTGTCACATGATGAGAATCTAAAGAGATCAACTGGGGTCAATGTGAACATCTCAGATCTCAAGTACTGTGTAAGTATAAAAATGCATGGTAAACTAATATCTAATAGATCTTGGGCCTGTAACATTTTTAAAAACAGTGAATGCCAGATAAATAATAAAAAATAAATGACAGTGGTTAAACAATGAATGTCAAAGGAAATTTAAAATAACTATTCTGAGTTTCAGTAAAGATGTACTCACTCTGTACATATATAGAGTCTTAATTTTGTAAGTAATTTAACAAAATTACGAAAGTCCTCAAATGTAAAACTACTAGTGTTCAGTTCCTTGAAGTATTCTTTCATTTGTTTTATTTGGATTAAATATGTAAATTAGTTTTACTCTTACAGTATAGGAAAGAACTCTTTAAAAATCTGGTTTTAGTAGTAAATCCCGATAAATAGAAGGAAATGCTGTTTTACCACCTAAAAAAAAAACTTACGTTAATAGGATACTATCTTATTGAATATCCTGTATGCTTTTTATATAGTTGTGATCCTGCTGTTTATTATATATATTGTATTTTCTAATATTTTCACATGATACACATTTTCTGAACTTTTTGTTTTTAATGGACTTAGTCTTTAGAGCAGTTATAGGTTTACAGCAAAATTGAGCAAGAAAGTATAGAGAATTCTCACATAATTATATGATTAAATTGCTTTTGGAGATGTTCTGCTACAGGGGGCCTTACATATGTAGTGTTTTATTCTTTTATTTTTTGAAGAAGCAAATATTTATGTCTTAATGTAAGACATTAAAATACTGATTTTTTTGAGAGCTAACTCTTTTCAATCATATCTTTTAAAGGAACTCCCACCTTACCTTGGCAAACTGGATGTCACATTTCAAAGAGGTAATATTTCCCATTTGCAACTTAAACATTAACATTAAAGTGTATTCATTTATGTTGAGAATTAGATATATAGGCATGTTCTCTTGTCATAGTAAGTTCCAGCTAAAAGTACTGCCCTCAAAAAATTCTCTCAGGCCTAATCTGAAATCTTGACCCTGAAAAGATGAAGTCCAGAGATTTAATTAGCTCATTCTACTAAAATTATATACAGTTAATTTAAACCAAATACTAATGACAAGAAACCCATATATTATTAGGGACACTTTGTACCTCTAAAGCTTCCAGTTCTAGAATATTACTATAACTTATAGTAATCATAAATGAAGTAATAAATAAATGAAAAGAAATTGAAGGGACCCCTTTCACATCCTTACTAATTGTCTCACATTTGATTCTGTGTCATTTAGGTGCTCCATATTTTAAATTTTAAAGAAAATTTTGTTTCTCAAATAAATTGTCCAGTCCAGCCAGTGTGGTTCAGTGGTTGATCATCGATCTATGAACCAGAAGGTCATGGTTTAATTCCCGGTCAGGGCATATGCCTGGGTTGCTTTCTTGGTCCCCAGTGGGGATTGTACAGGAGGCAGCTGATCAGTGATTCTCTGTCATCATTGATGTTTCTATCTCTCTCTCCCTCTCCCTTCCTCTCTGAAATCAATAAAAATATAAATAAATATATAAATAAATAAAAACCATACTTTTCCTAGTCATCTTCACTTTTTAATTACCAGCATAACAGTTTTCTTTCCTTTGAAGGTGCATATCTTACAAAGAAACATGTCCCTTGGACCCAATTTGTTAGTTATGTTAGAATGGAAAATACACCTAGAGATACAGGTTGCTGAGCAGGTATAGTCTCCCACACTACCACAATTCAGCCTCGTGCTTTGAATGATTCACATGTAACTCAGTAAAGCTATGAGATGCTATATGTTATGGTCCTTGTATGGCTTGGATATACTTTAAACTTTGGTTAAATGTGAAGGATGTATTGATATTAATTTTCAAAAAGAACTGTTAACTGCTCAGTGAGCTACATTTAAAATTAGTATAATTTCTCTTTGGGAAATTTTAGAAAGGTAAATAAAAATTAGAAAACTGTTTAAATTAGCTATCTCTGAGTGATATTTAGCTCTGATGTTTGTTGGTTTTTGCCTTCTAGGTAAGTATCATTAAGCTGTGTTGATTTGAGGAAATATCTTTCTCATTCTTATAATTAATAGGATGATACTTGCCAGGCTTTTCTAATAGTTGTGTCAATTGTGAACTTGTGAAAGTTAAGAAAATTTCATGGGTGGGGAGTAGGAGTCAATTTGGGGTAAAAGGGGACATATGTAATACTTTTGACAATAAAGAATTAAAAAATAATAAAATATAATTTTTTAAGTAAAAGAAAATTTAGAAGCGAAGTTTTTTCTGTTTTTCCCTGTGTAGAGCAAAGCCAAAGCGTCATAAAGATGAAACGATCATTTGCGAAAAAAAAGTTTTAATTTTTTTCTGGTTTTTATACCTTCCTCATAAAGTCATAAAACTTTTGAATGTGAAGAGACCTTTGAGACTATCTGTCTCTTCCTGTTATAGATAAAGAAAGAGGCCTAAAGATGTAAATTAAGGTCATACAGTCAGTAAATGACAAAGTTAGGACTTGAATCTAGATTTTCTCCTCACCAGGCCAGTATTTAGCTATACCATATTGCCCCTCCATCTGGAGAAAATAAACCTCAGGAAATATAAAGAAATATAAAGGATGATTAAGACCCTCTTTTAATTTTTTCATAACTCAATTTTCTTTGAATTGAGTTGCACTCAACACATTACTGAAGTAGCATATATTTCTCTTGCCTGAACATATTATTTTCAACCTCTGAAAAATTCAATGATGATAACAGAGGAAAACTTTAGAAACAATCTCAGTAACCACTGATAAGCTATAGAGAAGAAAAAAATCTTTTTCTTTCTACCTTTCTAGATTCTCAGCCTTGACTCTGTAACAAAAGAGAGATTAATATGAGAAAAACAAGCAGAAGTGTATTAATATGTATGTCTCATGGGAGAGACTCAGAGATGGCTAGAACCTGAGTTTATATAGCATTTTAACAAAACAATAATATATTTTCAGAGAAGTGACAAGACAAAGGAAAAGGACTTTGAATTTTTAGGGTGGCAAATTGTGGGAATGTACATATGTGGGAGAATAATGGAAGATAAAGGCTAGTCAGTTTGTTATATAGAGTCCTCTGGTACTGATAAGGGTTTATGGTTGTGGGTGATTAATTTTTGTACAAATTTAAGTCTTGTTTTAAGGCAAAAAGGGGAAGGGCAGAGAGCCTTTCTTATATCTGCTTCTTCTCCATTGCCTTCAGTTAGAAATAATCCTTATACCAAAGTGGCATATTTTGGAGTGGCAGACACTGCTACCTTTCAAGGGAAATGGTTAAACGAAAATAATTAAATTGATATATGGCTACTCAATGGAATATTTTTAAAACTTTAAAATAATAATTGTAGCCCTGGCTGGTGTGGGTCAGTGATTAGAGAGCATTGCCCTGCACACTGAAGGGCCATGGGTTTGATTCCTGGTCAAAGGTATGTTACCTGCGTTCCAGGTTCCATCCCTGTCCCAGGCAGGGCACATGCAGGAGGCAACCAAGCAATGTGTCTGTGTCTCACTCATCAATGTTTCTCTCCCCCTCTCCCCCCTTCCACTCTCTCTAAAAAAAAAAAAAAAAAAATTAATGGAAAAATACCCTCAGGTGAGGATTAACCAAAAATAATAATAATTATAGTATTAGATCGGTGGATTATATCAATGTCAGTATCATAACCTGATATTATAGTTTTGCAAGGTCATCATTGGGGGAATCTGGGTAAAGGGTACACAGATATCTATTATCTCTTACAACTTCATGTAAATCCAGTTATCTCAAAAAGTTTAATGAACCCTAACTGGTTTGGCTCAGTGGATAGAGTGTCAGCCTGCAGACTAAAGTGCAGACTAAAGGGTTCGGGATTCAATTCTGGTCAAGGACACATGCTTGGGTTGCGGGTTCCATCCCCAGTTCAGGGGGGTGTAGGAGGCAGCCTATCAATGATTCTCTCTCATCATTAATGTTTCTATCTCTCTCTCCCTCTCCCTTCCTCCCTAAAATCAATAAAATATATATATATATTTTAAAGTTTAATGAAAAAACTTAAAACATAATTATAAATGCAGTGTATTAGCATGCAACATTTATTTATTTTTTATGTAAAAAGATCAGGTTAAAATGTGTAGGTATACTATAACTCTATTAAATTATGCATAGGGGGAAAAAAGAGTAGAGAAAGTATACCAAATGGTCACAATGGTTATATCTAAATTGTTGCATTTATATGATTTTTCTTTCCTTTTTTTATGCTTTCCATCATTTTGTAAATGTCCTATTATGACTACTACTTTATCTCTTCTAACCATCAAAAAAATAAGTTATCTTTTAAAAATACATTTAAAAATCTTGCTTTCTCAGCATGCCAATGTGAAGGAAAAGATAACCGAATTCCATTATTGAAGGAAGTTTTTGAGGCCTTTCCTAACACTCCCATTAACATCGATATCAAAGTCAACAACAGTGTGCTGATTAAGAAGGTACTTAAGGCATTGCCTCCTCTGAATGTGTTGCATCCAATTTCACAAACTAATAAGGCTAGAGTAGGTGGCTGCATAGACTGATAATGTGCAAGGAAATGTGATGCTCGAGGGTCAGTGTTGTTTTAAATAATGCTCTGGTAAAAGAGATCACTTTACTGTCCGAAAGCCTGTTTTCAGAGTTGTCATGTCTCAGTCATAGATAAAAGTGAGCTCCTGTGAGCCAGTAGTTCTGGCATTTGTGTAATTAACTTCTAGTTTAACTTGTTTCATTTTTAGTTAGTGTATGTCAAATTATTAAGTAGTTGTATTCTGTTAGATAAATGATATAATGGTAAAATGTAACTAATTTCTTATATTTTATAAAATAATCTTAATTTATACATCGGTTCTTGTAAGATTTTGTAGTCTTCACTGGCAGATAGTCAATTATAACCCATTTTTAAAATGAAATAATGTAAGTGGATTTACAGTAGGCACATGCATAAAAATTTGAATTTTCACTTGTAGGTTTCAGAGTTGGTGAAACAGTACCGACGAGAACACATAACAGTGTGGGGTAATGCCAATTATGAAATTGTAGGAAAGTGCTACAAAGAGGTAATTCTTTCAAAAATGATACAGAATGACCTTTGTTGTTGTTATGTATCTATAAATGGTAAGTTATTGTAGTAATAATTTTTTAATATGAAGACCAATGGTACTGGGTGAAAGCAACTAACCAGAGTTTGCTAATAGATAATGGATTTATAGATAATGGGTTTCATAGAGATAATGGACCTTGCAATTAAAGTTCAAAATAATTGGACTGGTTTACAGGATTATCACCATTTGGGGCAGTTAAGTTAAGGCTAGATAGGACTATATTATGTTTTTACAACCTCCTTTTTATTATTTCAGAATAAAAAGTTAACTTTTGGCCCAGAATCACAGAACTTTTCCTTTGATTCATTTTTTTTTTTCTAGAAGCTTTCTGTCATTTTATTTATTTAGTTAGGTAGGTAAGTAATTGGGTCTTTTTGTTTTGTTTTTAGTTTCCTGTCATTTTAGAATTTAAAAACTTCCAAGCTTTCAATAGTAATTTTCTTGTTTGTATTTATTTTTTTCTTCCAACAGTAATTTTCAGACATCAAATAATGATTGTTTCAATATTTGTCATTCATATTATGAGCATGCTGTATATAATTGTCATGTGTCTTTTATAATTCTTAAAGTGTGATTTACAAGAATTTTACATTAACCCTTTAATTCCCAGATGCTAGAAACTAAAAAAGAAAGAAAGTGGGCTACACACTGGTGATGGGAAAACATGTGGCACTATTCTCATTTAATGATTTTTTTGTTTTTCATTTGTTAGTTGTGTGTGTTTTTTCTCAGAGAGGAAGGGAGAGGGAGGGAGAGATAGAAACATCAATGATGAAAGAAAAATTCATTAATCGGCTGCAACCTGGGCATGTGCCTGACCAGGAATTGAACCTTGACCTCCTGGTTCATAACATAAATCCATGCTCAACCATTGAGCCATGCCAGCTGGATAATGCAGTGGTTATTCACTGTGGCTGTATGTTGGAATTACCTGAACAGTTACAAAAACTACTGATGCCTAGGTCCCATCCCAGATTTTCTCATTTAAAAAACATGGGGGCCTGGTCGGCATGGCTCAGTGGTTAAGCATCAACCTATGAATCAGGAGGTTACAGTTCGATTCCTAGTCAGGCCATATGCCCAGGTTGTGGGCTCGATCCCCAGTGTGAAGCGTGCAGGAGGCAACCGGTCAATGATTCTCTCTCATCATTGATGTTTCTATCTTTCTCTCCCTCTCCCTTCCTCTCTGAAATCAATAAAAACATATTTAAAAAAAATATATGGGGTGTGGCCAGTTGTTATGCCAGTGGTATACCAATTCCCTCCCACCTCTCCCATTAGCAGCCTTCCATGACTCTCCAGAAGTACCAGTTACTGTTTTTAGTTCTCTGGTTCCAAAGTTGCCAAAGTTTTGAGGTTCAGCTCCTAACCGTATTTTCCCCATAAGTTCTGTTATTCTTAGGGTCTGAATTTGCAGAAATCAAGGTTTTTCGGGACTTGTATATTAAGTTGCAGTTGACACACCTGTATATATAAATAAGCTGAAAATACTACAAAGCAGCATGCAAACATAGGGGAAAAAGAAATCCTCAAACTTATTTATTCTATTTTTTAGAAAATAAAGAGGTGGGTAATTTAGAGCTACTATTTAAAATAAATTACTTTTTTATATGTATTTCCCCCCAATATAGTACTTTTATGCAAAAAACTCAAATGTAGCTCATCAGGTATGCTCGGTGGTTAGAGCATTGGCCCGAGTACCAAAGGGTCTCAGGTTTGATTCACAGTCAAAAGCACACACCTGGGTTGTAGGTTCGATCCCCGCCCTGGTCAGGGCACATGCAAGAGGCAACCAATTGATGTGTCTCTCTCACATCGATGTTTCACAGTCTGTCTTTCTCTGTCTCTCTTTCTGTCCCTCTCCCTCCATTTCACTCTCTAAAAAAATTAATGGAAAAAGTACCCTCTGGTGAGGATTGACACACACAAAAAGATAAGAGTCTTGGGAAATTTTGAGGATTGTGAAATAATCCTCTACTTGAGCAGTTGCAAAGTAACATAATATTGTTTGTGTCTTTTAGAATTCAGATATTCCCATCCTCTTCAGTGTACAACGTGTTCTGCTCATTCTTGGCCTGTTCTTCACTGGTCTCTTGCCCTTTGTGCCCATTCGAGAACAGTTTTTTGAAATCCCAATGCCTTCTATCATATTGAAGTAAGTGGTTACCTGTTTTCATCAATTATCCATTACAGGAGGATGAAGATAAAGCTCATTAATATTAATATTAATGATAAAGAATAGATTGCTATCGTTATTTCCATGTTTTCTTAGCTGACCTATATTAACAGTGCGTTTTGCCATAAGACATTCTCTAAAACGAATAATAAAGGGTTATAAGTATTTAATCTGGGCCCATTTCACATAACAATGACTTTCTGTGCCTATGTATTCAGAAATCAGATAAAAAGAATTGAGCTTAATTGTTGAAGTTTAATAATTCTCTTATTCTAACATCTAGTAGCAATTGCCCTCCAACTTCCTTCCCTTCTTCCTACTTCATTGACAACTATACAAAGCTGAAACTCCATTAAACTTGAAATTCACAACTAGTATTAGTACATTTAGGAAGAAAAACAACCACCCCCACAACAACCCAAAAGAAACCTCTGGAGATGGGAGAAAGAAAATGATAGGATTTGTTTACATAGATATTTCTATGTATGCATAACTTCTCTACAGGATACAAAGCCTTGCTTTTCACACACTAATTTACTACAAAATATATATATATATAAAACAATTAGTGCCTGACAAGTAATAAGCACTCAATAAATGATAGCTTTTATTGTTAAATTATCTTTATCATTATTATTAAAGACAGATAGTTTTATCTCCTGCACCCTCAGAATGTAATTGCTAGCTATAAATTTATAATAATAACTGAATCATCACAAAGGAATTCAGAGTTCCTGGGAGATCATTTAAATGTGATTTCACCTGCATGGAAACTTTTTTCATTCTCCAAAGCAATTTTTTTTAAAAACCAAGCTGAGCCGAGCAGGTATTGCTCAGTGGTTGAGTGTCAGTCAGCCTATGAACCAGGAGGTCGAGGTTTGATTCCCAGAGTACATACCCAGTTGTGGGCTCGATCCCCAGTGTGGGGCATGCAGGAGGCAGCCAATCAATGATTCTCTCTCATCGTTGATGTTTTCTCTCTCCCTTTCCTTTCCTCCCGGAAATCAGTAAGAAATATTTATTAAAAAAACAACAGCAAGGTGAATAATTGTCATTAACCATTAGAGAATATTAGTAAGAAAAGCAATTTGGTCAGGACCCTTATATTCAGCATCTGTGTTTCATACCAGTTTGAGTTACTTAGTGATGAGCATTTTTATCTATTCCTAGTTATATTTATTAGCGATCTTTGTGGCTATTTCTCAGACAAAACAACAGAAATCACTTCTTGTTTACAAAGAAATAATTTTCATTTCTAAATTAAAATGATTTCTAACCATTTATTCCTAGTGTTCTTGCTTTCCTCTGGCCTGGAATGAACTCTTGAGCTCTCTGGATTATCTCTATGTGTTCCTTTTAGAAGTTAGTATTATTGAAATACAGACATGAAAAAACTTCATAGAATTAATCTTTTCTCTAAAGAGTGATAATGGATTAAGACATGGGTAAAACATTGTGTTGTATGTTTTAATGTTTTGGGGTTCTTTTATGGGAGACAATGGGTACTTCCTAAGACAACATAATATTTTGTGTTTAGTGAGGTACTTTAGTATTTGAGGTACTAAATCCCTGAGATTTCTGATAGCAACCAGGACTTTCCACCTTGGCTAGAGTTAGGGAAAAAAGGATTTTATTTAGAGAGCTTCTAAATAAAAACTGAATTCAAAGAGAAAGAACAAAATGAATTTAAGTGTGGGGACTCAGGATTATACTAAGAGTATAGATAGGTGGCTTTAGAAAGAAAACAAGAAATGAAGATCTGGGGAGATTGTGAATCATTGTGTGCTGTTAAACTTAGAAAGAAACTGAGAAATCTTCATAGTAGAGAGGCTAATCAGAGATTTCCTATGGTCACAACCCCAAGTTAATAACACAGGTAGTGGTGTTGCTCTGGGCATCAATAAGATTGAAGAAGAAATAGCATAGGTCTAAAAGTCGTGTGCTCTTTCAATAGCAAAGATATTTAAAAAGTACAGGGCCTAGATCTTCAAATATTGAAAGGGAAAGAAAAAAAACAAACATGCTTTTATAGGGGGTTTTTTTGTGTCTCAGTTTTACCCCAAGTATCTTTTAATCCATAGTAAAGTTCGGTTATGTTTTAAGTCTATTATATACTAAACCATAGCAGACAAAGCAAGAGAAAGTTTCACCAAAATAAGAAGAGACATGAGCCCTAGGCACTCAGGGTCTCTAGAAAGATAACTTTTTTAAAACCTTTCAGTAGTGGTTGCAAAAAGCCTGAAATCAGTGGAAAATAGAGAACCCAAATGGGCTTTATTTTAATTTATATTTGTCCTTTTAGGAATATTTTTTTAGTACATACTAAGTGTAAGGCACTTTCTGTTTTTGAACTTGTTTTATTTTATCACACTGTGTTTCTAATTTATTCAAATTTTATTTTGTCTCAGGTTAAAAGAACCACACAAAATGTCCAAAAGTCAGAAGTTTCTCATCTGGCTTTCTGATATGTAAGAATTTTCGTTTCTTGATATACAAGTTAGTGTTTTAGCTATATTTATTAAATACTATGCTCAAGTTTAGTGTGATCTTCCTACATGTAATTTGTAACAAGGATGTGTTGAGTATCAACTATACAAATGGATGTGTATGGATCATTTAGAACTAGTTTAATTACTAGTCAGGAAGCCTTAGGCAGAATCTAGGGAGATAATCTCATTCAACTAGAACACAACCCACCCAAAGTTAAATTATTTACTTGGGGTTATCTAGCTAGTTAATAGCATTCTAATAAACATAAATGGAATAGAAATTAGATGTAGCCCTAGCTGATTTGGCTCAAGGGACTGAAGGGTCCCCAGTTCAATACCGGTCAAGGGAACATGCCTGGCTTGCAGGCTTGATCCCCAGTAGGGGACATGCAGGAGGCAGCCAATCAATGATTGTCTTTCATCAGGGGTCCTCAAACTTTTTAAACAGGGGGCCAGTTCACTGTCCCTCAGACCGTTGGAGGGCCGGACTATAGTTTAAAAAAAAACACTATGAACAAATTTCTATGCACACTGCACAGATCTTATTTTGAAGTAAAAAAACAAAATGGAAACAAATACAATATTTGTATTTGCATGTGGCCCACGGGCCGTAGTTTGAGGACCCCTGTCTTCCATCATTGATGTTTCTCTCTTCCCCTCTCCCTTCGTCTCTGATATCAGTAAAGATATATTTTTTAAAAATAGAGAAATTAGATGTAAAGCTTTTCAGTACAATAATTCCCATCTTGCTCAAGTGATTTGTATTCTAAAAATTCACTTTTAGTTGGTTATGAGCTTTAAAAAATGTTTTTTTTCTTATATGTAGATATTGTAATTAATGGACATTAGGTTTTTAAGAGAGCTCACAAAAGACTAATCCATTCTGTAAGTGAATTATGATGTTATAGAACTTGACCCAAGTTTACCGTCTTATTTTAACTTGCAAACTTAGGAAGACAGACTTTAGTGAGCTGCTCCAATAAGAATGGAGCAGGATCAGTGGCAGCAAGGAGTAGAAAGTCAGGTCTGGTTGTTCGCCAGCCAGCAGTGAAGAGAGATCCAGCAGTTAAGATACAAATGCATCCATAGCAGCGGTTATTATTTGAGGCCATTGCTTAAAACTCTAAATTAGGACTAAGTTAGGACTAAGGACCAATTTTAGTCCTTCCTTAAGCTAAGAAGTACCTAAATCTGTTCTGCTTTTCTCTTCTAGTTTATTAATGAGAAAAGCTTTGTTTGACCACCTTACTGCTCGAGGCATTCAGGTAAGTTTCTGGAATGATACGTTTTTGGAAACAGACTAGTTTACCAGTTTAACCCAAGTATAAGGAGCAGGAACTTTTAACTGACTTAATTTAGTCCCAACTCTGATGATGATGCTTGACTGGTTGACATTTGAAGATCTTAAGTTCTGCCTTACAGTGAACAAGAAAGCATTGGCATTTCAGTAACTACAAATCCACTTATGTAGAGGTAAGAGTAGCTAAAGGCAGATGGGTAGGTCAGTGCATATTTAATGAGCAAAGTGGAATATTTTAAAGGGTGCAATTATTTCTTAAAATTGCAGATAGAGCCAAAACTGGTTTGGCTCAGTGGATAGAGCGTCGGCCTGCGGACTGAAAGGTCCCGGTTCAATTCCGGGCAAGGGCATGTACCAGGGTTGCAGGCACATCCCCAGTGGGAGATGTGCAGGAGGCAGCTGATCGATGTTTCTCTCTCATCGATGTTTCTAACTACCTCTCTCCCTTCCCCTCTGTAAAAAATCAATAAAATATATTTAAAAAAAAATTGCAGATAGATAAATGCTATTATAAAAACAATTTTCTTTTTAAAATAATTTTCTATCTTAGCATTTGTTCTCATACTTCTCATGCTTCTAATTTTCAGGTATATATTTGGGTATTAAATGAAGAACAAGAATACAAAAGAGCTTTTGATTTGGGAGCAACTGGGGTGATGACAGATTATCCAACAAAGCTTAAGAATTTTTTACACAGTTTTTCAGCATAGAAAAGGAAGTATTCAGAAGCATTCAAAGAAACTATGAAAAGATCTAAGGGAGAAAAATTTTTCATTATCATTTTCCTAAGCCATTTTCAGAAAGGTAAAAGGTTTAATCAGTTAAGTTTTTATTACCTCATTTTTAAGCTGCCTGAGAATGTAGAAACTCTATATTGTATATTTATTTTAAACAATATTGCATATTTGCATTTGTAAATAGTTTATTTAGAAAGATTATTGATCAAGATTTCTGTATATGATTATATTATTGTAAGTCTGAAATCAAAAGACCATTGGATAATTGGATAATTTCACTGGAATAAGGCCAGCTCATTAGTAAAACAAAACTATTCAAGGCCTCTATAGCTATTTTGAGTTGTCTTTTTATTTCTAGCTACATCTTAGTTGGTGGGGAAAAATACTGTGGAAGGAGAGCTTGGAAATCATTGATGTGGTTACCTGACAAGTTGTACATGTTAACAGAAGGCAGACTCAAAGAATTAACCGGAAGTTTATTACTTGATCAGAAATAAAATCTGTAGACTGAATTAGATTTCATAGTTGCTGTTGTTAATGGGGACATTCTATTTGGAATCCTCTTCAGGTGTGTAACATGTCCTTTTTCTTTTTTGGGGGGGGTTAAATATTAAAACTAGATTTATCAATTGTAAATTAAGACAAGATCCAAATAGTCATATTTTTATGTTTCCTGTAAAGAAATTTAAATTTTCCATTTTGGGCAATGACTGTTTGGGCCTACATGTAGATTTTCAGTAACATTTTGAATCCTAACCACATGAAACTGATGAAAGTGCATATCATTTGTTAATACTTGTAGTATAAACTACCTGTTCCTGATCTTTAAGAATGTATTCTTCTGACTATTAATGTGGAAATGAAATTTTCCAAAGCACTAGCCATCACTTTCCCTGCTTTTCTGATGTGACCTCATGTAAATCTGTTTCTGATTTTATTGGCTAATTTTCATGTTCTCTTTGGGAGGTGAATGTAATCTGGATTAATAAATATCTTTTACCTAGATCACATCTCTCATTTAGAGTTTGCCAGTTTACAGCTAAGAAGGATGACCAGACTCCCACTTATCCCTGGATGATAAAGTAACATTTGCCTTTTTTGTTTATACCGAAATAAAGTTTTCCAAGAACAAAATAAGGGTCCTTCATTGTTTGTTTTTGTAGTTGTAAATTCACATATACTTTGTAGATTTTTCTTTTGCAGAATTTGATGAGGTGATGAATTGATGAGTAAATGCACCTGAGATTTCTCTTTAGAATAAAGAAAATGTGGATACACTTTTATGGTAAAGAAGTTGCTTCTTGGCATGTGAACAAATAACTTGGGCAGGTAATCCATTATATCAGTCATTTTCACTATAATTTATGATTGTAGTTGCTAGGGATCATATTTGATACAATTCTTTTTTTATTTCTTTTTACCAAATTTTGCTTTGTTACGATTTGGAGCAGTTTAATATTGTAGGGCCAGCATATATTTTGTGTCAACCAATAGAAGGTAAAGGACCCAGTGTGGTAAAGCTGTTTAGAAAGTCATGTTTTAGACGTTTGATGATTTTATAGTCGAGGTGACTAAATCACTTAATGAAAGTATAGTAGCTTTAACAAGAGCGTTGATATTCACTATCAGAAAACATTTAAATACTGCTTTTCTGATTGGGGTGTCATGTTTTAAAATAGGCTAAATAGCCCGGCCGGCCTGGCTCAGTAGTTTAGTGTCAACCTATGAACCAGGAGGTCACAATTTGATTCCCAATCAGGCACATGCCCAGATAGTGGGCTCTGTTCCCAGTGTGGGTCGTGCAGGAGGCAGCCAATCAGTGATTCTCTCTCAGCATTGATGTTTCTATCTCTCCCTCTCCCTTCCTTTCTGAAATCAATAAAAATATATTTTATGAATAAATAAACAAACAAATAAGTAAATAAAAATAGGCTCAGTATCCTTTCATTTTGAGATAGCTACTGCTAGGCTTGGTGGACAGCATGGTGGGGAAGACCTTTCTGCTGAGATGCAGCTGGCACTAGATTTGACAGAATCAGCTATAGGTCTAGTGTAGCAAGATAGTAGTATCCTAGGTACATGGCAGTTGGCAGGCATTTCAGTAAGCAATTGGCATGAGGGAGTTTTAACATGAAGTAGTAAGAGCTGCTTTGTAGACTAAAGTCCTAGGCACGTTACCAAGGCCAAACAGAACACCAGGTCCCAACCAGAGCTAGCACCCTGGTCTTGGAAATAAGTTCATTTAGTAGAACTGAAGAACAAAGTGATAACACTGGACTAATTATAGCAGCAAGTTGGTACTGAGTCCTAGAGAATATTACATCTCTAATTTCTGGCCAGGGCTGGTTCTAGAAATTGGGGTGGGGCCCTGACAACAGTGGACATCTAGAAGCCACAACTATAGAGAAAGAATGGCAGCAGGGAATTGAGATAAAAGAACGTAAAACGTAAATCTCAGTATGTTGTTATTTTGTGTGTTTTTTTTAAAAAAGACCCTAGCTGGGTAGTTCAGCTGGTTGAGTGTCATCCCGATACACCAAGGTTGCAGGTTTGATCCCTGGTCAGGGTTCATACAAGGATCAACCAATGAATATCAATAAGT